TCCATTTATATTAATTAGGCATGTTGTTAAATGCGGCTTAGATTATACAGTTAAATTAATATAAATTTATTTTAAACGAATGAATAAAGGAACAAATTAATAGCACTTTTCTCTGTTGTTGTTTTCTTTTGAACTATTGAAACAATCTTTCACAGATTTCACACTTCACACTTTCACTTTTCCCCAAAAAAAAAAAACATTTTCAACAAGTACAAACATTAATATATGCACATATAGTTGATCAGCTTTCCCTACAAGCTGATTTATTCATATTGAAATTATTTGATTATACTGCAAGCACATCGAACGGCTCTTTAGCCCACTTATAACCGAATGGAAATCCGTTGACACGACCAGCTAAGCTAAGCTAGCCTAACGTTTGTTGTTAGCTGGACATTAGAATATTGTGTGGGCTTTACCGCGTTGCTGGCCGACGCGCGTTCGAATCCTTTCGGCTTCGCTCAGGAACTGAACGGAACTGAAAATGCGCGAATTTCTTTGCTGCTTTCTTGCCACTTTAATACAACGCGGTTCCCCAACGGCAAAAGCGACGCCGGCGCTGACGCTGGCGGCCGCCAGCTGAAAACAGGCAGAGGCAGGGCCAGAGGCACGACAACTGTGACGGTTTCCATTTACAAGGAGTTGTGAGTATCGTGCTGGGAAAGCGTGCGAGCTCGAGCTTGTTTCCAAATTGGTGTTAGGTTCCGTTAGGCGCCATGGAAATGTGGCCATGTGGATTTTTAATCATTTGCAATAGTACGTGGTTGTTAAGGTATTTAATATAACACACAGAGTCGGTAATTAGGGTCTGCAGTCCGAATGATATTATATATCTATTATATAAACACGTTTGCTAAATAATAATCATAACGTATATACTAAAATGCGAGACGCGAAGTTGAACTCGAATTTTTTATTAGAAGATAAAAATTAAATTAGTTAAATTAGAATTTCCATAATTTAAAGATCATCATTATGACGAACATGTAAGCCTCATGTTACACCTACACCTGCAAAACCATATAGACATAGACGTGAAATGCCCAAACACCGGTGTGTCTGCACCCTACCGTCAAACCACAAACTGGTACAAACTCAAAAGGCTCTATAGTATTTCGTAAAATGACTGACGTCGGGCTTTCCAATGAAATCTATGCAAATTGACTTGAAATTTCCACAAAATAACCAAACACTAAAGAGGCGAGGCGGCAAATTCAAGCAAGCTTTCATATGTACATAAATACCGTTGTGTGTACATAAGGTATCTATACTTATTAAAAAAAAAAAACTAACTACATACTCACATGTGGCATATATATTTACGGACTAAGTCCACGATAGTGTGATGTTACGGGGACTTTCCAGAACCAACAACCACATAGCATAGTAAAAGCTAACGCTAGCTGGAAATTGCGCCTACTTTCGCTCACGTCTCGTGGGAAAGTCCAAACGCTGGTTTTTTTTTTTTTAGGACTCAAATGCGCTGTAATGAGTGTACATATATTTGCATATGGTATGACCAGTTTATGCATACAAATATTCGTACATTAGAAATAACAGAAACTCGATGTCGCCATCTGTCACAGGACAGTTTGCACAGGACACCTCACATAAAAAAAGTGTGAATTATCAATGAAATTTCGATTTCATTTTGTACACATTTACATACCCATTAAACGTACATTTGTACTGTATGTATGTAAGCTTGAATTCGAACAAATCGGCTGGCGTCGCCATATGCCACCCTGCTGCACTCTGCCGCACTTCTTCGGCCTGCACCATTGGGGTTTGGGCTAATTGTTGCGTGGCTCCTAGTTGTCTTTTTATTGCTGCTACAAATACGTATGCGTGTATACATACCCTCCACAACAATATGTATATATGTAAGCACGTGTAGACGTAGGGCATCGCAAAGCATATGAGGACTCCCATGAAGTAAGTGAATGTAAACAATTATTACAATTAAACAGATAGAAAAAGTTATATAGTATAGTAGTATATATCTTAATCATCTTAAACAACCGACTCGACCTAGCCATAGCCGTGTCCTCATACAGTTTTCTCGAAGACAATATCTAGTGTAAAAAATTCGTTCCCATAAAGTATATAAAATCGTATTCAGCCGAGTCGATATAGCCAAGTCCTTCTGTCTGCTTCTATCCAAACTAATTTTTCAGTTTTAAGGATATCGTCATAAGACTTTATAGTTCGATACATAGGTCGAGATCGCCAAAGTCGGACAACATCTTATGGCTAGAATAAAATGTTCAAAAATTAAGTTGATAAATAAATAACTTTTTTGATTTTCAAGATAATTTTACCTCCCCATCATTTTTGGAATACTTTATCAACATCGAGCCTCTATACAGCTCAATGTAAACCTTGTGTATTTAAGTTTTCTTGAATAAACTATTCAATTACAAGATTTAATATTATTCGTACATACTTGCAAAACCGGAACATTCGATTGGAAGATTTGTGTAGGAGCATTTCTAAGCCGCACGAGGGTAATTCAATTTTAGCGTGTTTACGCGTTTGCATATTTTTGGACTTTATGCCTCAGATTCATTGTTTGCATAAAAATACTTTTTCGATTTGCGCTATCTTATGATCGTAGGCTTTGTGTTTATACCATGTTTTGCACGTCAACAGAAAAATGTAATATGTAAGGTTTTATAAGATGCGCTTCTATTCAGATAAGTCCAGAATAACGAGAAAGCCTCTGTCACGCACACGTGATGGAGCTAAATGATTATTTTAAAACGTAATTTACTGAAATAAAGATAAAACACTATCGGTAACACAAGTTATTACATTTGGAAGGTTTAATGGCAGCGTGAAACGTCCTGGCCTTTGTTCAAACACATCAAAATGTTATCCTTTCCGTAGAGTTCCTATTGTATGTAGAATATTTTGGGCTCAGGATAAGAGTAAATGGTTTTGGCTGTTCGTTTGGAAAATTGAACATTTTAGTTAAATATATTTAACTAAACATAACATAAGATATTTACATATCTTGATAGAGATTTAAAACTAGCATTTCCAAGAGTGTGCATGTCTTGGCACTTAAACTTAATGTAGGCATCGAAAGGCCTAAACAATTGTAGAGCCTTGCTGGTTAGTACGCTGGTTGATTTTGACATGAGTCTGCCGCTTTTTCTCCTCTTTAAAGGCCTCGGCGTTGGCCTTCCTTTCGATGCGACGTTCGTTGCGGTAGTCTTTGAGCAGACGCTTGCGTTCGCGTTTCTCTTCGGGAGTCTCGTCTTTCGGGCGTATGGAGAGAACGCTAAGCGTTGATAGCACCGATTTGGCACACAGCGATTTGGGACCAGCTGTGTTTGATGAATCATCAGCCAAGTTGGCTAGCGCCTTGGCTGTAAGCTGAGCGTCGGCGCCGCCACGAAGCACGTTCGCTGGAAGTCCCGTTTTGGGATCGATTTGAATAGGAGCTGAACGGCGAGTAGAGCGCGGCTCGTCGATCAGTTTGGGGTGGTTATAAATATTTGAATAGGTAGACAGTATGGATTCACAGTCCCATTTCTTTTCTTTGCTGTCATCCACCTCGTAATCGACAAGCTCTTCCGTTGGATCGTTTTCCCCATCAACAACTTTTGAGTATTTCTTGATGCGCTCGCGATCCCATTCTTTGTCGTAATGTAAGTCCTCATTCTTCTTTTTAAACTCTTGAAAACATTGCATTACCACGGGATGCTTTTGATGCCAGTGGCCCTCGATATCTTCTAAAGCGAGATCTCCCAGCTCGGGATCGTCGTAGCTTGCATAGAATTGCTCGAAACGATCATCTAGCAATGAAAGTTGCTCATTTCTTCGGATGACACTAGATGACATTGAATATTCGGTGAAGCGCGACTTGGTTTCTTCATCGTCGAAACGTCCTTTTCGCATCAGCGGGCCAAGACGATCCATTAGTTCGTCTGCGTTTTCATCTTCATTTAAATTGTCCGAATCAAAGTCCATATCGTTTTCGTCGTTCTCGTCTTGCCAATCATCATCATCTTCGCCGCCTTCTTCGTCATCATCGCTGCCCATCGCTTGCATCACGAAATCGTCTTCCAACTCTTCGTTGTCCTCAAAATCGCTATCGAGAGCTGCAACAACTTCTGGATCCCAATCTGGACGCGGGCCCGGCTGAGGAGCTGCTTTGTTCAACATTCCTTCGGACTCCTCAAATTCACTTGCGAATACTGAACTTGGAAGCACAAGTAGGTTGCGAGATTTAGAATCCTCAACGGTTGACTTTTTGGCTTGGTTGGGGTTCTCCATATATTCCCAGACCACATCATTTTCTCGCTTTTTCAAATGCTGCATGTAGTCGTAGTCATCGTCAAAATGAATGCCGAACTTTTTAAGCTCCTCTTGGCGTTTTGCTGGATCTGAAGGCTCTTCATTTTGTGGCTTAGCCTGCGACTGCCTAGCTGTCGCCTCCAAGAGCACACGTTGTGGAGCAGTTTCATCGGTCACCAGCGGATCGTGCTGACTACGGTGCACCAAGTGAAATGTGACGGCTTTTTTTCTGTCGATATATGGCTTTTTGCCTTTAACCTACGAATTAAATTCACTCAAAACTTTTGTTTGTTTTATTATTCAATATTATTTTACCATTTTGAACGCGTTTGCTGCCTTTCTTTAAAATAAAACTGAGAGCTTTGCTTATTGCGTTCCAAAACACATGTGGATTAGAGATGTGTTTAAGAGCTGCAAACTAATCGATATGAATATGATAACCTTAATATCGATATTTTCTTAGTTTAATTGCGATGAGAGGTATGTCGTACTCGTTACCCTGAAATTGAAGCTAGAAATAAAAATACCGCCCTTTCAGTTAGTTTAATTACTTACATGATATATGAATTTATATATTCACTTCTTATTCATCGGCTGCTAAATTCACATCAAAATTTGTCTATTCCAATAGAAATAATCTGAACCATCCGATTAGCTTATCGAGTCCTCAAACATATCGGCAAGTTCGGAAACACCAATCGCAAGTGCTGATGGGCGAGTTCTCTTTATTCGTACATCTCTAACTCATATGGCTTGCATCCCTGCTGTAAACTAAACATAATTGTTGTTATTATTGCCGTTCCTCAATTGATGTAAAATGGAGGAAAATGAGAGCACGTCGGAAGCCCAGAATAATGTCGCCAACGGTAAGTGGAAATTCAATAATCAATGCAGAATGTAGCTGACCTCAATAAATTAATTGTTCAGGAGATGATGACGCGACATACCAGCATAAATTGGAACTGCTCCAGACCGAGATGCGCAAAATGCAAAACGAGTTTAATACGCAGCGTGCAAAAATGAAAGAGCTATATATGCAGAAGGAGGCCGAGCGCAACCAACTTCAGGAAGAGTTGAATGAGTTAAAGACCCACCTGATGGTCGCTGATCTAAAATCCGAGAACGAAATGCAGTTGAAGGATATAAAGGCCCAAGAGGAGATATCATCGCTGCAGCAGCTGGTGCAGGACACAATTGAGGAATCGGCTATATACAAAGCCGAATTGGAGCGCGTCAAACTAGAGCAGCTGCGCCAGCAACAGCAGCAGTTACAACAGATGCAGCAGCAAGCCACGGCAGAGCCATCAGGCGGTTTGGCGCCACACGTCCTAAATCAGGTTAAGAAAACACTCGGAAGTGTACGAAAGTTGGGCAGCGATTCCTTGAATAATAGCTTCCAGTCGGAGAGCGCCGATGGCAATACGCGTGGACCAACCAAAACACATGTCAAGCAATATGTAAGTAATGTTAACATATTTGCAAATTTATATATTCATATGTAAATTTGTTTAAGCAGGCAACAGAGGATGCCGAAATGATGCATTCAATAGTTGAGCAACTGCAGGAGGAAATGAAAGCCCTAAAGGAAAAGTTACGCGAAACAGACGAGCAGTTGCAGGCAAAGAGTAGCACGTCGGAGCGCAGGGAGGAATCTACTGAAACAATCACAGATGCATCAAATGGCTTGCACAAGTCCACATCAACAGATTTGGTGTCCGCGCATGCAGCTTGTCTGGGCTGCAACTCGGCGAAACAGCTTACGGATGAGCTGAGTGCGCAGGTGAAACAGCAGCAAAAGCAGCTCGATGTCACACAGAAGCAACTTGTTGAGTCGCGCGAACAGTTGAGCAAAGAGGCGGCGCTGCGCAACGACTTGGAGAGTCAGTGGCAAGCAAAGCGTGAAGCACATAAAAGCGAAGTACAAACCCTACGCGAGCAAGTTAAAAATAACGAGCAACAGCTTTTAGATATGCAACAGAAATTCCTAGAGACCAAGGATGAGGTCATGCGACAGTTGCAGCGCGTCACAGATGACCGGGAGCGGGTTAATCAGCAGTTAGAAACGCTGCAGGCTGACAACGATTTTCTCTCCGGTCGGTTCCTGGCGACATCCGAAGAAATTGAAAACCAATATATAAATCTCCCAAATACTGTGGTCGAGCTACAGGAGCTTATGCTACGGCAACAGAGCGAGCTGATACAGGCGCGCGTAAGCAGCGAATACGAAAAACAGAAGTGCGTTAGCTCGCTGGATGAGATTCAAATACTGCGTGCTCAACTCGAAGAGAGCAACAATGAGCGTCGTGCTTACAAGCGCAAGGTTCAATTAGATATTAAGTCACTACAGTAAGTTATTATATATATATATATATATTCAAACGTATGTAAATCAATTGCCATTTTCTGCAGAGATCGTGTTACGGAACACCTGGTGGCGGTCCAGTCGCATGAGTCATCAAAAACTCTTTTGGAGCGCAAAGAGGCTGAGCTGAACAAACAGCTATCCGAGTGCCGAGTTGAGATTATCGAGCTTCAGGACGCCAACGTAGGTTTCTGGTAAATTTTCTAAACAGTCAAATTCACGGTCGACAAATTTGCAGGAAAAGCTAACAAAAACCAATTCAGACTTTAAGTCTAAGATAAAGACGCTTCAGGAGGAGTTGTCCACAATGGAAACGGTGCAAAAGGACTTTGTCAAGTTATCACAAAAACTGCAGGTAAGCTTCGCATCCCATGAAATATATATTAGCTGAAATGTATTTTAATTATAATCGTACAATGTCAGTTATTATCTTATTCAGTTAAGCATTAGACTTTATGCATTCCCATTCGATTCTTCTAGATGACCTTGGAGGAGCTGCGACATGCTGACACCGAGGTGCGCTGGCAGGATGACGATGACGTCAACAATTGTCCTACGTGCAACGCCGGCTTCACGGTGATGGTGCGCAAAATACACTGCCGCCATTGCGGACACATCTACTGCGATAAATGTCTAACAAAAACGGTGCCATCGGGCCCACGGAAACGTGTCGCCCGTGTCTGTGATATCTGTCACACGTTGCTCACGCCACACACCGCTCCCTACTTTAGTCATGAGCCGCAGCAGTCAAACTAGTCGGTTCTTAGCCCTGGCGGTGCGTCACTATTATTATGTCGGCAAATATTTATTGTTTTTTGTATGTATGTTTATGTACTGTGTACTGCAATTCCTCCTTATGTTTATTTGTTTTTGGGGAGTTTGTGTTTCAATCGTGGTGTCCTTGTCGAATTAAACCGAGTCATATCCAGTCACAAAAGAAAGTCAAGATTTATTTTCAGACTATTTAACTAATCTAACTCCCTAATGTGTTAGCTACTTTGTAGATAAGCTCCCAAATATTGAATTTAGAACGCAAGCTAAGCAAAAATATAAAAATAAAAAAACTATGTACACTTGACGTTCGTGCTACTCATTACTGTGAGTTACTTAAACCAAGTCCGCCTGCAAATTGAAAAATAATAATCATATTTGTTTTCCGTATTCCGTAAGGCAGGGTTTCATGCAACAAGTATGTCTTTTATTTAAAAATCAAAGCAGACAATTTGGCAATTTTCGTTAACAAGTAACAACATCAAAAATATATCAAATTGTGATTTCATAACACTTGTGTATTCATGGGGTGGCGAGGATATTCAAAATGTCTGCATGCACTCACATAAATTCGTGTACATGTTAACTTCATATATTTTAATAATAACAATATGGGCATGCCCGTTAAACTCTGTATGTATAACTCAGTTCATCTAACAATAAGTCAACTGTAAATTGTTTATAACTAATACTGCAATCTTCGCATTCAACAAAGCAATAACTGAAAAGGCTTTTATGTAACTAGGAGGAAAAACCAAAAAAACAAAACAAAATCACGCACACACATAGGTAAAGGGGAATCACATTTTCATATAGGGCAATTACAGTTGGCACACAGTCATTTTCTGAAACGAGATGAAATGTAAATGTCACTTTAATTTGCTCCTCTGACAAGCACTTCTAGTTTTGACATTAAGAGTCAATTATCGTAACTTACCTCACCAGATAAATCGGCCGGCCAAGGCGCCCACTAACGCTACAGCTGTCACGCCCAAAAGGCTGATGATCCGACTGCTGGGAGCTGTAGAAAAGTGAGAGAAATATATGATTAGAACACAACTTTGCCAAGGGCTAAAAGAATATTATTCGTTACAAGGATAATAAACCACAATAGCCAGAAATTTAAATTGTTTAAGAAGTCTTTGCAATTTTTGTTAGCTAAGCGGCAGTCTCTTAACTAAATGTTGTTAGATCTATTATGGTGTTTTTTTTTTGTTAAAACATTGAAGCAGAAGAAAGATCTGCAGATGAATGATATCTTATTTTACATTAGAAAAATGTGCCAAAATTAGAACAAATATAGTATATCATATGTAAAAATGATTATTAAGACACTTACGTAAAAATTTAGCGTTTAACGAACGCGGCATAGATGCGACACTCGTTAAATTGACAGAACAGATATAGATGCGTGGCGAGGCGAGGCGAGACAAGACGAGACGAAGGCAAAGTCGAAGACAAATGAAAAGCGAGTTATACATATATAGAAGTGTGTGGACGTCATTCCATATCTTTTGAGTTCAAGTCCTGGTTCTTGTTGAAAGGTTGGACTCTATGATAAAGCTGACTTAAATCGTGCTGAGCGTGTGCTTATTGTAGACGCTGATTGTTTCCGATACAGAGGAAGTTATAGACGGAAAGAGCGACAGTGAAAGCGATTAAGAACTTAATCTATTGATGGGCAATGGATACGCGCTTCAGATGGTTCTGATACTCTTATAAATAAATACATTTATCATCTATTTGAGCATCTCTGCGAGCTTCGACTTAAAACTAATTATGTAGACTGCTCTGTGGCCAGAGCAGCAAGTGTAACAACTGTGGGGGAAGACAATGCCGATGCTTGGATAATGAATTCAATAATGATGTCGTTCAAATTGCTTTGTCGAGTTGCTTGGCATTGCTGTTCTATTTCTCGTTTTCACCTGCACCGCCCGTGTTGCCACTTAGAGAGATCTGGCGTCCGTATTTCGCCAGCCATTCGATGATCACGCCGTTGGTCCAGCCAAAGCCCGTCTGTACGCCGTATTCCCCACCGCCACCATGTCCGCCAAACTTCTCCGCGTCGTACTAAAATAGAAGTTGCAACGCTCAAGTAGCCTGTCTAGTTGTATATAGATATAATTAGTTACCTTTTCAAACATAGCAAGGGTCTCGCGATATGCCTCAAAATTGGATTTGACCCATCGCTGGCCCCAGCGTTGCGAGAGCTCCTTGGCTTCTGGAGTTCCCAAATTGTCAAGACCCTCAACAAGAATATACTGCATCGGCGCCCATACATTCGGGAAGTCCCACTGCTCACCGGTCTGATAGAGCGTGTTCGGTACGCCGCCTGGGAATGTGTCCAGTTTGTTATTTTCAATATACTTCAGCACAGATGCAGATATTTTCTCCGAATCGGAAATGTTGTATGCCTTCACCCACAGCGGCGACAGATTGGAGGACACGTAATAGTTGCGCGGCTTGTCGTTGATCAGATCATAGTCCAGCCAGCAGCCGGCTTCCTCGTTCCACAATACCGCCTGTATCGCCTAAATGTTCATGTAATGTAAAGTAGAGTATGAAGATATTTATCTAATTTGACACCAGTTTCGAACTTACCTCTTTGATTTTTTGTGCCTTGGTTTCGTACTCTGTCATCTTTTCGACGTTGCCGGCCTTGGAGTGGAACTCGGCAATCATTTTGGCGTTCCAATAAAGAATTGCATTTAGCTCGACAGGGACAATGGAGCGCGTCTTGGCGTTTGTAAGGTTTCCAACATTTGTTCCATCTTCGTTGATGTACCAGCGGGAGCTGAAGTCCATGCCCGACTCAGCAGCAGACTTAAGTTCGCTATAGTGATCCTCCTTTGCCGCCTCAGTGTCAAAGCTCTCCGATGTTTCCACATCCTCGCTGTACGATTCGGGGCGTGGACCGGATGACGAATCCCTATATGCAACTAGGTTGTGTCCCTTTGCCTGCACGGTGTGGTTGTTGATGAAATACTCGAACTCGTGCTCCAGCACATCCAATGCATTGATGGCGAACAGATCGTCCTTTGTGAAATCCACATATGACTTAACCATTGCCGTTAGCAGCGGCGGCTGAGAACGACCCCAATAGTAGACACGGCCGCCGTTCGGTATGAATCCGATGCGCTGCACCATGTTCAAAAAGTTTTCGATCATGCCACGTGCGGTATTTGTCATCTCGCTATGCAGCAGACCACGGATGATCCAGTAAGAGTCCCAATAGTAGAACTCAATAAAGCGGCCGCCCGGCACAATGACGGGATTGGGTACGGGAATAATCGAGTAATACTGAGGATTTTTCTGCACATCCTCTTTCATTTTACGGCCCAGCTCCCTCCAGATGTTGTTTAGGTCCATGCCCCATTGCCTTAGATCCGGATCGTGAACCAGGTCCAGAAAGCCAGGACGCTCAACCCAATCGGTTGGTGTCCACACATCCAACTCTGTGCCCTTCTCTCCAAAATGAGCCTAAAAATCATGAAAATAATATTGCAATTAAATCGTTAAAGCTGCAATTGCGTTTGCGTTCGCACATCAACAAATTCCCGAATCTCGTCCCTGGTAGGTGTATTATTCTTTGAAGCCATGAAAGCATCGAAGTCCTCCAATGTTGTCTCGGGAGAAGCCTTCAACTTCATGTCCACAAAAGTTTTCGAGTCCGGAAAAAGCTTCGCCATCTGTACGGTGTGCAGTAGGGGTCCATAACAGTATATTTGGCTGAAAAAGACAGTGTTGCGAAATGTTGAAATATTTGGCAAATATGAAATTCCAGTTGGAATTTAAAGTAAAAGGATTTAAAGGATTAAAGGATTTAATTCTTTGAAATTAATTAGTTTTATATTTATATCGCTTGTATCGCAGTTTTTTTTGGGACTAGTATTTTGCTTTATTTATTATAAAGTTAAAAATATTGGTGTTTTATCATTTTTTAGTTTTTAAATTAATTCTAATTTTAATGTCTTTTTGTTCTCATTTTCAGCTCCAACACAAGTCTTTCGAGAAAGATTCATACAATTTTTGTCGCTCTTTAAAGTATATATATTCTTGATCAGGACGACGGGCAGACCTTTGAAATTCGAAATATATAACTTGTTATACTTTTTATCCATATCTTGTTCCATTTTCAAACTTTCAATAAATGTCGATTTTGAAACTTGGATTTTTTGTATAACTTCTGCCAATAGTGCTCATATTCAAAAGAAAATAAGCTGAAAGAATTCTTTCTTTAAAATTATTTAATTTTACGTTTTCTTTTAGTTTCATATTTTCTGTTTAGTAAGCTGGTTATTAAAGATAATATTTATTAAGTTAAGATACCCTGGAAGCTTAGGAAGTAGGAATAAACCATTCTTTCTAAAATTGAAAACCTTTTTCATTCTTAACGTATAGCCTGGTTATTCGAATGCCTTATTTATGATCTTAAACTTTAAAAAAGATCGGGAAACAAAAGGCGTAATTATTCACCATTCAGCAACAGGGTGATGCATTAATGCATCTAGAAGTATTCATGTGAGCTAATAAATATTGGACTATATTTTCTGTTTTGAAGAATTTAAAGCGTATTGTCAAGAATAATATATTGAATAAGGGCATTTTATAGTCGACTACTTGTTTTTCGAATATGAATATGTTGAAGTTTCTTTTGCAAATAGAAGGGAAGTGCTTGGATAATCTTAAGTACACCTTGTTCTAATTAATAGCATTAGGTAAAATAGATCCAAGAGCAGCCAGGGAATATTATTGCTTGGATAGCTTGAAAACTCATTAGGCTAAGCACTTATTAACGGCGACCCCGGCCTTAACGACTTTAATATTATTAAGTGCAAATACATTTTTTTTTATTATTAATTTACAAGTTGGACTTTTAGCTTGAACAGCTTTGGCCCAATCCGGGCGAAACCTGACCTGATGGAACCCGCCCAGAATCGAGATCGAGATCGAGAGGTTTGTGCGCTTTAAATGCAGTTCAATTCAACTCGAGTATATATATTTACGGGTGGAAACATTTTAATTGAAATATATAAAATATAATAAATTAATAAATTTCAGATTGAAATTTGAGCAACCGGTTCAAATAATTGTGAATGCTTGTTATGTATATTCCACAGTAAAAGTACCAAGTACTTTCATATACATTTGTAATATAATATAAATTCGA